TACAAAAAAAAAAAAAATTTGTACTAAAATTTCAAAAAAATTTTTTAAAAAAAAGTGTTTTTTCTTTTTTTTTTTTTTTTTTTTTTTTTTGTTTTTTTTTTTTTTTTTTTAAAAAAAAAAAAAATTCTTATCGGAAGAATTTTTCGATTGTATATCATAAAAAATTTCGATTTTAAATCAATCGGAAAAAAAAGTTTAAAGTTCGAACTATACGAATCGAGTCGATAAAAATCCAAAATTTAAAAGTAATATAAACGAAAAAAATGAAAAATCTAAAAAAGGAATTTTATGTATAAATATGTTTAACGCGTATGGAAGAATTTGGTATAAAAACTTTTTGATTACCACCCCACCACTTTTTTTAGAGTAGGAAGAAAAATCTCCTACAAGCGAATTATAATGAATCAAACAATAACAATAAATATATATTTCGAGGATTTCAAAATGTTTGTTTTCACTGATAATATATGAATCCACAGGGTTAATTCGAAAAATCATCGACGAATATATACGTGCCGTTAATATTTGAATAATTGATTTGGCAATAAAAAAAAAAAAATAGTAAAACTGTTAAAAGTAAATGAAAGAGTAACTTTAGTATACGAATGTATAAAAACCACAAACTCATGCTAACAATCATTTTTTAGGAAATCACCTTTATTATAATAATTATCCGTCTGGGTACCATTTTCTAGTTAATTCGTTGGGAATGTATTTACGATTTTCCGGATCCCAACATTCAAAATAACAACCAACTAACTCGGTAGTTACGGGACCAAGTGCTTTAGCTAATTTCCAGTCGGCCTCGTCGCCTAAATGGTCTCCGTAGACATTGCTAGGAACCATTCTTAATAGCCGCTCTGAATTATCCGGCTCAAGCATTAACGTTTTCTGACCACAATATATAAACGAACCTCGATGAGTAAGAACTTCGTAAAAAGGTTCATCACGAGGAGATTCTATATCCTGAATAATTAAATGTAGGCTTCAATACAATCATGTAAATTTTAGAACAAATGAACTATGTAACATTCAAATTACCGTCCAGACAAATTTGATCGCATTTTCTGCTATATCTCTATTATAAGCTATGTAAATGGAACCAATAAACAAAGTAATGTAAAATTTGAATAACTTTTTAAAAGAATAATATAAATCCTACCTCTATCCCAACGACAAATCACACCAAGACTATGGAATTTTTTGAAATTAACCACATCACCAATGTAAAATTTTGGATCTTTTTTTCCTAATTGACCCCGAATCGACTGACCGGACTCAAAATCCCAATCAATACGATCATCCTCTTCCAATCCTTCGATGTCAGCTTTCACGTCTTCAATCAATTCTTGCCACATCTCTTGTTCTACCTCAGTACCCGCAGCTAAATAATTTTCTATGTCAGTTAATGCTATTCGACCAAGTTCGTAATCTTCCGAGTAACCATATCTTGCAGCGACAAACGACCACCAAAAACTCATAAGCTTACATAAATCACCAAGAGTACAATCTAGATACTCTGGAGATCTTACGAAATGAAGCTGAAGAGCTATACCGTATATTATATCACGATTGTAACCACGAATAGCGGTTAGAGCAAGCCAATAGTCTTGTAAGAATAATCGAAACAGTTTTTTCTGTGGGATGAATTTGTATTCTGGAGTATATGCACCATAATACTTTGAACTATGCTTATCAAATTGTTCAATTGTAAGTACACCAGTTTCAGAATGTTTTTGAAAATCGATATGATATATATCAGATTCATCATCATAATCGTCATCATCACTTTTCTTGTCTTGATCCATTTCATCACTTTTCTTATCTTGATCCATTTTTGTTATATTAGAAGAACTTTCATCACAAAATCTAATAAAGTGATACCTCCGAAACGTTAACCTTTCACGATCAGAAACAATGTCCACGTTTTCAATTCCAACTTTTTCAGCTAAAGCTTCAAATAAAACAGTCATTACGCATGCCTTGCTTTGTTTAGTTTCTAAAAGTGGCATGACTAAATATAAAAATTTAGTTTCGATATCAAGTACAGAAGCAGTAGAAGGATATTTTGAACAAAAGAAATTTGCAAGGAGTCGAAACTTGGACAATTGAGATTCAGGAGGATTATTTTGACATAATAAATTAAATTCGTGAGCTAATTCATCAATTTCACGTAATATATCGATCACATCGATTCTTTCGTTAAAAAAGGCAGCCATCATAGCGAAACCTTCTAGGTTGGAAATTTCCAATTTATATTCACGCCATGATTTCCATTTCTGGATAATTTCACTTCTACGAATGTATTGAAGAGCACGTTTTGCAAAGTAACAATGAGTAAGAGTCACCTAAATTAATTAGATTGATTTATACAAGAAATCAAATAATTAAGAATAAAGTTTTTTTTTTTTTTTTAAAAAAAAAAAAGGATAAAAATATATAAATCATAAATAAAATGAATCGAACATAACCTCATTTGGATTATCCATAACCCAAAATAGCACATCTTTGCAATTATCGCCTAACTGTTTAAGTTTTTTCATATTCGCCAGATAAAAAGGACCACCTTGTGCTAATTCGTCCAAAATCCCGAATGCCCAGCGATCAGTTTTCATTCGAACAAGGAACATTTGTCTCCACCCATCAGTTCTTGTGGGCTTTGACCTCCAGTATTTCCACCTACATAAATTCAAAGAAAAAGTCCAGCCAATAAAGGAAAAAAAATAATGTCAACAATAGTCGGCCGGACCCTGACCCGCCAAAGTAAACCTAGACGTGCACCTTTGGTCACAAAACTTTTTCCATAGTGAATCCGAGTAAGAAGCGTCTTTCCATTGCCTTGACACTTGCGCACACCGTGCCACATCTTCTGCTTCTAAATGAAGCAGAATATGCTTAAGGCAAAGGGGCGGGATTTGAGGTCGTGCCATGCTTTTCGTTTTTTGTAAACCGAAATCTGGATACATATAAACCGTTTTAACAATTTTTATGCAAAAGCATTGTGTTTGTGTACACCTGTGATCAGCAGTATTGCCGGTAATGGACACTCTCACAGTCATTTACACTTTGGTAAAACATACTTTTTTTGATACACTTGCCCATAATTTTTTGATACAACTAAATATATTCTAAAGGTATGTTTAGATGGATCAAAAAAGTAAGTTTTGGCACACTTTGACGGAAGATCACGGATTGACGTGTCACGTGCTTAAATGAATGGAATCTGTATTGAGCATCTACTTTTAACTTTTTTTAACTTTCGAGCATATTCTAAAAAAATCGATATATTTTCGGGACGATCCTTAGGTCGGTATTCTGATTGTTTTTACTGACATTAGTACGTAATACCGATTGAGTATATTTATAGTAACATTATTTCGCATTTTTACTTAATAAAACGAACTATGACTTAATTAATAAATTTGAGTGATCTCGGGGGGGGTGGATCAAATTTTTTGGGAAAATGTTTCAAAAAAAGCCTTGCATGTGCACGTACGTATGTAAGTACGTATGTACGTATGTATGTACGTATGTACGTCTAGGGATGTCAAAGTTCTGTCCGGTCTGACATAGATCCAAAAAGTCAAGTCAGTCGGACCGAAGGGTTGACCCATGCAAAATGATTAGGAATGTTAAATAGACGGTCCTGGCTTGGTCCTAAAAAGTTCAATATAAATTCAGGTCTGAAGTCATGGGGAGTTTAATGACTTAAAGGAGGGAACTTTTTAACAACCTAACGTGCATACGTATATACGCAGCAGCGCGGGATAATAGACGATCAACTAACCAAAATGGTACGCGACCGATTATCTACATTTATTATTACAGTATATACTGTATTAAGAAATATAGCGATAACGTGTACTTTTTATACATAGTACAGATGAGAATCATGTGATCTTGTTCAATTTTGGGATCTACCAATAATAGTCCTATCGGGGATCCGTATTATTTCTATTATTTCACTTACTGTCGTCTAACCTAACTGTCGATTGCCACCGGTCTTATCGTTATCCAAAAATCCGAATTAGCTTTAGAAGTTAGCGATAGTTGTGATTACCGTAGATCACTGTGAATAGAGGTACGTATTGATGTATTATCAATTGGCCAATGTCATAAATGACATTTTCTTTTTAATATATGTACGTACGTACGTACGTATGATCTTAGTATGGCTTTTTTGTGTTATACAATAGGTCATATATTGGTCATACGTATTAAATGCTATATAGCGATATATAGTAAAAAATTTTATTATAATTTTACCATATATATTTACTATAATAACGTTCATTTATGACTACGTATGACGGATCAAGATCATATTAGTCATTAATTTGATTGGTTAATTTGATTGGTTAGCTGTTTATTAAATACCGATACAGTCAACTATCGATATCGATATCGATATGGGAAATCAAACAGTTACGTACGTATATAAGATTCGATGATACGTATTATATAAGCGGACATAAAATTACTAACTCATGCGTATACATTACGTAGTGAATTTACATCCAATTAAATCGCAGTGCGATCTTACAACTCTCTCTCACTCTCGAAGGTACGATATAGTGAAGAATTTTGAATTACGGAATTATTAAATTTTAACTCGATATAGTATTCTCTCGATATCTCGATATAAGCTATAGCCCGACGATTTCACTACGTATAACGAGAGTGATTGTACTATTCAAAAAAATCTGTCTAAATTCAGTTATAATATCGATATATAGTTTATTCTGTTTATAATGAATATGCTGTACGATACATCATTGCCGCTTTGCAGCACGTGAAGCCAATCATTTGTCATATTACCGTATTCGCAAATTTGCCCAATAATGATGTTATCTGACAATTTACGGCGGCTGAGTTTTTAATTTGCATTATTCGGTAATTTGGTTCGACCGGGCAAATGAACACGTGCCGCGAAGCGGCACGTGTCAGCCAATCATTTGCCCGGTTGAGCCAAATTTCACAATTTATGATCATGATTGGTTGGCTGAGTTTTAATTCGAGTAAACGTGAATATTTCGTAAGATTTAGCCAGGGCGCCCCCCCCAAAGTGCCAGTGACGCAGCCACAGTATATATACAGTATTGTAATATTGAATCACGTACGCACAATTGTTATCTAAAACAAGTGATCTACAATATGCAACTAGAAGAGAACCAATGAGTTGCACTAATTGGTCTTACGTCACTGGCACTTTGGAGGGGCCGCCCTAGCTAACTCATTTCGTAACACATGAAAAAAATAACAGACAGAAATACATTTTGATCATAAAAGTTTGTCGGATAATTGCAATTAATTGTTCTCACAGTCAATTATTCGATAGCCTTGGTTTGTTTTGCTAATCGGACAACTAATCGATTGGCAAAATTTTTACCATAGTCGTGATTATAATGAATTACGGCAAAAAAAAAATGCAATTCATTATAGCGATAATGATAACCAATTGTGGCACACATATTCGTTGTTTGGCAAGATCTGATTGGCAAATTATGTCGATCAATGAAAATCCTTGGATAGCTTCAAACAAATAAAAATGTGTCCAAAAAAAGAATAATCAACGTGGCAATGAAGTTTGCAAAATTAAAAATTTAAGGTTAGGACGTTAAAGTTAGAGGCAATAGAAATAATAATCAACTTACAAATAAAATTTCCTACACATAAAATTTTATTTCTATCGTTTTTAATTCGTAACTCAAGACATCGTTTCTTGCATTTTCGCTTTTTTCATTTTGGTTTTCGAGCTGATCTCGAATATTATTAGAATCATGCTCGTGACGAGGTTTAATTTACACCAAAATTTTGCAAGGATATAGCGTTGAAAATAGATTTATTCGACTTTTTAAGTTACTGACATTTTTTCAAAAAAAGTGATTTTCACGTTACATCACCAAAAATAAGATTTTTATACTACAGGAATAGAATTTAGAATTTCCTAGTTAAGTTAGGGTTAGGGTGTACATATGATAAAATCAACCCCAAAATGGATTTTATATATAATTTACGAATCCACTTAAATTCTGTTTCCATATATGCACGCAAGTATACTTAGCTTTTTTTAATTTTCATTATGTTTCAATTTATTCATAAATGTCCAAAGTTCATCTCTCTCCTTTAATGTTTTGCTAGCAAATTCCTGAGTAAACCGGGCAGTGTATCCGTAAAGACCATCAGCAGAAAAATCATTTACAGTGTTTTTATTTTTGATCGATGAAATGCTTTGTTTTGACTTTATAACAGTTTTATTGTAATTGTTCTTTAACCATTTATAGTGTTTATCGCAACCTGATTTAGATTTAATAATAACATTATAATAATCACTTTTTGCATTCACCTCAACCGAAGTAACCAAAACGAAAAAATAAGTTAATACGGAAATAAAGGTAATATATTTTAGAAAACCCATTTCTTTTTCAAAAAGAAAAAAGGTTATTGGGATAGTGATTGATATGGAATTAATATGGAATTGAAATTAAAGAATTTATCTTTTCAATTTTTTTTTCAAAAAAAAGAAAAGATAATAAAAGAAAGATGAATAAGATAATATATGAAAGTACGATAAGTAAAACAAACCTCAACATTACGAGTATTTATTCATTTTTTATTACCATTTGTTTTGTTTAGAAGTCTTATTGGAGATTATTAAAACCATCTCGATCATGCAGATTAGACATAGAACTAGATTTAACATTATTAATAATTTATAGGTACAGTCAAACCCCTCTATAGTCACCTCCTCTATAGTCACAAAATTGGTATAATTACAAATTTATTTTTACCA